AAATAAGATCTCTGAGCAGAGGACACATTTTTGATCATAAATATGGTTTATTTTGTTCAACAGAAGCCTGAGTGTTACATAGTGATGACACTATGTCCCGGAAGTAAACAAAGGATCCCAATGGACCCCACTCTGTAGGGAACTTTGGGATTTTAGCTTTTGCAGACCATTTACTACAGGAAAGGGAAAACCCTAAAAAGGCCTCTTTAAAGTGACCCTCCCAACCCTGTTCCTGGAGCAGGTAGTGATGCAGCACTTTGCTCAGGGACACGTCAGCAGCGTGGAGGCCTGCCAACCTGAGGGCCCAAATCATGAGCATACAGTCACGCTGCTGCCTCTAAATCACCAAGGAACATTTCTGTGTCATCCACACAAAATGTCACCAGTAAAGGCTTTTCTTGAGACGGAACAAGATTTGTTTTTCTTTCCTCAACATGCACTAAATGTGTCATACTGTACATCTAGACATTTCCAGGGTTTAGTGAGATTATTAATACCTTCATATTGATGATGTTTCATTGTTTATTCATGATTTAATCAATCAGTTCTAGCCTTAAAACATCAGATCTTTGAGTGATTGAATGAATAAAAAAGGCCACATGTATGGATCCCATCACCAACAGTGTTCATTTCAAAGGCTGCAGCAGGAGAGGCGCACAGCTGTGCTTTGACAGGCGAGCATACTAAGGTCTGTGTCTGTGAAGCCTCTTTTACACCATCTGCCTCTGAATCCAGGCTGCCTGTCATCAGGATCCATATTTACATTCCGCCTCATGGAGCATTATTGTCAATCAAAAGTGTACTTAACTCTTGTTGGCTTTTAATTCAATGTTTTATGCATATTTGTGGGAAACTTTATTCCACACTGAAAAAACTGAAATGTTAATTCAATGTATTAGGTCAACAGATGTCACATAACTGTATTAGGTTAGTTGAAAGCAATAATAATACGTTTAAATGAAAAAGATTAGGATCAACTTAATATTATTGCTTTCAGCTAACCTAATACAGTTATGTGATATCTGTTGACATAATACATTTCATCCACTTTTCAGTGCATATCTGTCAATATGCATTACATTTACACACGTCGCTGGCACTATATCTCTGTTTGTTGCATATTCTTTTAATACTTCAAACAGATAACATTTTCACGGACCATTTTGCAAATTTTTGCACAAAACTGCAAGTATTGCCAATTTAATTCCTATATATATTAATATGTTTAAATTTTAGTTTTCAATTACATTTGTATCATTATTTACCTGCATGCAGTTTTCATAATAACTCATACTTATTTTACGTAACTTTACTTTTTTTCCCTTTCTTTTTCTGTTTCTATTTCTATATTTCTGGGTTTTTTTTTATTCCCTTTTATTTTCTTGAAAATTCTAACTTATATTTAGTTTATTTTTTAGATATATGTCTGACGAAAAATGATGATGGAAATATATTAGTAAGTAAAAGTACTCTTAATGAGTAGTAAAATACAAATATCACTTAATGGCCTCTAATTCAAGGAGTAGATCCAGCTCTGCTCTCACCTGAACTCGGGTGCAGAGTTGCTCTTCAGTCCGTAGAAGCCAGCAGACAGGGTGAGCAGCCAATAAGGCACAAACGCCCCATGCTCACACTCCAGGTACGGTGCCGACCATTTGATCTGGTTTTTGTCCAGAAGGTAACTTCCACTCTTGGACTCCTGGACCCTCCTGTGCATGTGCGATCTCCTCCCGTCCCTAAACTCATTAAACCACTCGGACTCGGGGTTCCTGCTCCTCAGCTGCTGGTGCGCAGAGGCGGACAAGTCTTGCAGCACCACCTCCTTCTCGGTCCTGGTGGCTTGGAGGAAAACCTGGGGACCGGGCGTGGGTGCATCCGCGTGGAATGTCACCACAGCCCTGTGGATTTTGGGATCCCCCTCGAGGATGCTCTGAACCAGCGCGTGGTACCAGTGGATGTCCCTGCGCGCCGTTTGCTCCCGGGACCTGTTGGCCTGCAGGATAATGTTCAGGAAGTTTGTGGCGTGCGCGACCGTGTCCAGGATGCTGTGCAGGGAGTAATGGGAGGCGACATGCAGGCCGCCCCGCAGGCTGCTTAGCTCGTACCTCCGGGAGCAGTTGACGTGCTTCAGCGCGGAGGAGTCCCCGGTGTGCAGGAACGCGGTTACCACCCTGGGCAGGTCCTCCTCGATCTTGTGCGCCACCACCGTGCGCTCCGTGGCCGGTAGCGGGTAGTAGGTCGGGTGTTGAGGAGGCTCCCTGTTGATGTTCTGGGTGCTGAATACCGGGGGGTTCTTCTCCTCTTTGTCACTATCCGACCACTCCACATAGCCGTAGTTGGATCCCAGAACCAGCGCAGTTTGCAGGAGCAGAGGGACCACCAGCAGAGCCATGTCGCTCCGTTTTTACAGAGAAGAAACCGCTTGGCAAAAAGTGGCGAGCATAACCAAATCTCTCCTTTCTTCTGCTGCTTCACAGGGGGAGAAACACTACACAGCAGAATATCTCCTGGCATTCAGATACATGATGCCACTTCTCATCCTGAGCATCTTCTGTCCGCGGAAACACACTTTCCCTCTCTTCTTCTTCTGATCCAAAGCTACTAACTGGTTAAATAACAACAACAATGACTCCTCTTCAGCAATCTGCAATCCATTCATATGAAGCGACGCTGTCACCGCGCGCCTCCTTCTTTACTCCTTCACCGAGAGATCCATGTGAGAGGATGACGAGGAACGAAACAAATTGTACTTGAAGTTCCGTCCCTCCCAATAAATCCCTAATAGGCCATAGGTGTCGCCCACCGGTGCGTGCGGTTGTTTCTCTCCGCCTGTCTGTCGGAGGGGGGCGGGGCGTGGGGGAGACGGGAGACGGGAGCTGTCCGGTGCTGAAAGTAGCGCCTGTGGGAAGAAACGTGAGGGTGGCGGTGATGGAGGAGGAGGAGCAGCCTGACAATCATATTCATCTAAAAGGAGATTCATATAATAGTATGAGTAAGGGGGAGATCATCAAGAGGCTAGATGTGTATATGTAATAATGTGCACTGTATTGTTATGTAGTTAGCTACAAATACCTACATGTTATACAATTGATCAACATACATTGGTGGACAGTAACAAAGTATATTTATTCTAGTACTCTGAGTTAATTGTACTTTCAATTTGTACTCCTTGGCATTTGTATTCCATTATAATATATTATATTATATAACAATATTGTAGTATACTCAACTATATTTTATTGAAGATCTAGGTTAATACTAAAATATAATCAATACAATATAACCAACAAATATTTGAGCATGTATTGCTATAGGTTACACACTCATTTGTATTGATATCTTGATGAAATTAACAAGCCACTCAGCAGTATATATAGTACATAACTTTATATGGTCACCTTTTCTTAAATATATACTTTCAATTAGTTTGCCATGTTGTATTTATCTGCTATTTGTTTTTGTATATAAACAGTGTGTGCATTCTTAGTTATTTTAAATGTGTGATATGTTTTCCGTATGCTGTTCACTTTATCTGCACTTTAATTCTGCTGCTGTAATATTGTCAATTTCCCTGTTGCGGGACAAATAAAGGATTTCTGATTCTGAAAAAAACGACGTAATTTGATTAACACATAAATACACATTCTGCCACTCTTTTCACAGCTTGCAAAAGAAACAGGATGGAAATGAAAGGAAAGGAGAAAATATGACCCTGCATGTAAAAGAGCTTCATTATTTTGGTCAACGCAGGCAACTTTCACTTCACATAGTCAGAGGATTAGCTGCTTCTCTGTTGTGTGTAACCGGGTGATGTGGACCCGGGTGCACGTTTCGCATGTTTTCATCAATCTGACACGATTAACAGAATACAATCACTCTTCAATTCTAGGCTTTAAAAGTCATATTATAAAACAATGTAAGAAGGGAACATATTGCTTAGACTGGATGCCTTATAAGTGGTTGAAGAATGTTAAAGGGTCCCTATTCTGCTTTTTGTGGTTCTCCTCTTCCTGTAGTGTATTATATAGGTTTTAGTGCATGTGAATGGTCTGCAAAGGGGACTACGCAACACTCGCACTTCTATTGGATAGCGCTACAACACACGTGCTAAGGGGCGGGACATCTCCGAAGAGGCTCAAAATACAATAATGAAACCTAGGGGCCCCTGTTAAGCCCCGAGCCTGTTTTTCAGGTTTCAGGCTCGAAAATGACATGCCCAAAACAAATGACTACAACTTAACTTCTAAAAGGGTTATATGAATAATTTATTTTATCAAAGCAAGGTTACATCTGTGAGTTGGATGTAGAAGTGTCAGAATCAATATAGATTTTTCTCAGTTAGAGTAAATTCAGATGGAACATAGCAAAAAAAGGTAAATTCTTACCTCCGCCTAAAGAAAAAACATTACTTATAGTGAAAACCACCCTTGAATGATGGGATGGTAGACTAAAAGCTTTAGGAATCCAAACATATATAACATATAATAAGTACCCTGTATCAAGATTGAGGCAAAACAAGTTAAATTTGACCTTTTTAGAGAGGTTTAGCAAAAAGTTCCAGGCGGAATAAGCTTTCGGCACATTTGGGTACATCTGGTTCCATCAGTGCCATTTGACCTTTTTCAGGTACCAGACTATAAAAATGGTGTATTACATTGAATTATCACCATAGGTATTCATTCCATCCAAATAAAAAAAATAAATAAATAAATAATATATATATATATTTTTTTATTTGTGAAAAATAAAAGGACCCGCCGACGGGGTCTTTGGGGCTTAACAGGTTAAAGTATCAGTATCTTTCCACACGTTTTGATGTGTTTTGTGCATGTCATGGCAATGCTCCGGGACTGTACCATTGTGGTCCAAACTTTCAGGCAGAAGATTAAGAATAAGATGAATAAGTATGTAGGATAACAATATCTGTGTTGCTTCGCCAGTCACACAATCAAAAGCAACAATTACAAGAATATTAATCGCAATGCATTAATTAATTTATTTATATTGGACATGTTCTCCAGTTTTACAGCTTGGACTTCTTTAGGATCTTGTCCAGCGGAGCTCTTTCTGTTTCTGGGATGATCTTTGTCCACAGGTTCAGAAATCTCTGGTTTGAAGCCAGCTTCTGGAGGAGGATCTGTCCGTGGTGCCTGTGGAGGAAGAAGTTATTTGTTAAGCACAAAGTTCAGATAAACAAAATTGAGATGGTGAAAACAATCAACACAAAACAAGAGGCGCACATTACAAGATTATGCAAAGTTCTGCACTAAATCCATATAACTTGACAACGTACCTCACGTCTGGTGCAGCATCCACACACATTTTGGAGACGGCTCTTAGGAAGTGTTCGGTGAAGCTCGTTCCTGCTGCCAAGACGCAAGCTGCTCCAAATCTGTCGACCAGGAGGTGCAGGTGTTGGGCCATGCTCCCTCTTACTGCGACACAACGGTGACTGAGGAGGGACACATACAGGGTGATATGAGACAAACTGGTCTCTTACTGTTTCATTTCATTTAGTCTGATAACTCCTGCTGCTAAAGTGAATGCAGCCTCCCTACTTACTTCAGTCCCGTGTTCAACAGAGTGCTCACTGTCCGCCCATGGCTGCAGTTCTCCACCATGGCGCCCAGTGCAAGATTGGCCTGCTGCTGAACAAAGTTGCTGGCGGTCTGCGCTAGTTTGAGCAGCAGAGCTCGGCCTGTGGCTTCGACCTCCGAGTCCATTGCCTTTTTGAGGTTCACATACAGCTCGGCTAACGTGGTCATAGCCTCACAGGCCACTGCTGAGCGTAGGTTATTCACCTATGATAAAACATGACTGTCATCACTCAAGTCTGTAGGGACATTTTGGCCAATGATAACAGCGTGAGACAAAGAGGTCTGAACAAAGATACAAAAGGGAAGTGTGTAATATACCTCGTCAATTAGAACCAGACACACTTCATGGCATTTTGTCTTGAGAGTCTGGGAGTGGTGCTGGGCCAGAGCTTGCAATATTTTCAAGCTTTGCACTTTCTTCTCCCTGTGAGTTTACGTGACAAAAAGAATGGTTAGTAATAAAATAAATACAGTAACTCACTGCTAAACACTTTAAATGTAAAGTCTAATGAAGATACATTTTACGCTCTTCTAAGACGTTGCACCAATGTAATGTCACACAAACTATTTGCAACAGGAAAAATATGCATTCTTATCTGGTACAAAAGATCTTTGTTGTTTACCAGTCGTTGGAGGCGAGCAGCTTGAAGCAGGCAGACAGGCTTTCCATCGGATTGGTCAATGGCTGCAGCTCAACCCGTTCAACTTGTTTATCATTTGCCGTCTGGAGGCTGCAGTCCCTGGCAGCCTTCTCTCCTGCTAACAGCAGATTACTCAGTCAGAGCACTGCACTCACCCAGTGATGAATCAGTTATCATTAGAACATGTTATTAATCATATGCTAAATGGTGTCATGTCTAAAGATCAAGCTTTCGGGTTTTTTATATTCGGGTGACCTGCTGTGTGCTGAGTGAAAGATTGTCAGGTTACACAAGGAACTGAAGGGAATAGTTTGAACCCAAAGAGAAAAATCAAGTGTTCACAAAAACCTCCAAGACCCCTCTGAATAAAGGTCAGAGCTTGTACTAAAGCTGTTCAGGATGTGTGATAAACGTACCTGCTATGGCTTTAGCAGGTTGCAGCAACATCCCAGGTCGAGGTACCCTCCTCTTGGTTCTGGGAACTGTTGGAGGGGTCGGGTCCAGAGGCGTCATCACAGGGCTCACTTTGGGGGCCGCTGTAGTGATCTTTGTAGGAGCCGCTGCAGCTGCAGGGGTCCTCTTTCGAGCCACTGCAGGGGTCTTTTTGGGAGCCGCAGGGGGTCGAGGTGGAAGGAAGTACTCAAGCTCAAAGCTATCCACCTTTTCACCCAAAGCCCCAACTTTACTTTTAGCCGACTGGAGTGTACATACTTTCACTTGTACCTTGTCTGCTGAGATTAACGGCATAAGTGTCACTTCATGTTTTTTTCTACTGTACTTTAAGTCAAGGAGACATTTTTATGAAGGTGTTGTATTTAAGATTTATAATAAACATCCATCAGACAATTAAAAAACCTTAAGCTATAACAGCAGGGGTCCCCACAAAAGATTGAGGTCCCCGTTCAACAGTATGTCTGGTGAGAAACTGACCTGCTCCGCTGGGTTTGGCACACAAAACAGGCAGGCGAGACACTCTTCTCCTGGGAAGTGGAACTGCAGACGCAGCAGGAGGAGCAGGTGTGAATGCGTCCTCTATCAGAGGAATGGCTCTCAGCTCACTGGGTGTGTGAGTGTCCACACTGCTGAGGCTGAACAGAGAACAACTGGAGGAAGTTGGCCTCCTGTCTCCTTCTGCTTCACATGCCTTTACAGCCGTCTGACTGCTGAGGAGCACCTTGTCCCAAAAGGAGTCCCTCTCATCCGAACTTCCAGGACTCAGGATCTGGGTTTTCTTGATGTTCTCCCAGTTCATGCGGGGTAAATCTATAAGAGGGCTTATCCTCTCTCGCCGAGAGAGTTCTGGGCTTCTGCGGAAAGCTGGTTTTTTAGGTAAGGGCAAAATGACGCCCTGAACAGAGCGTCTCACTCGGTTCAGGACGGCCTCGTGTCGCTCTTTCTCTGCAGCGCAAAGCCTCTCTGCTTGGCGAGTTAATGCAGACCTCTGAGACCTCTGTATGTTCAGGATCCTGAACTCATCTGAGTTCTCCTGTCCACAAAGGATACCAGTTTGCTATGGAAATCAAATACAACAAAGTACTAGAGTACTTTTCTAAGATACCAGAGAAGTTTATGTATGTAGACCCTCTGGTCTGAACAGATTGAAGGCCACAGGTTAGAGTCTGTTACTTACCCAGCCGTAATCGCCATTCCCATGTAAACCCTTCCTAAATCGATGGAAGATGTTTGACATGTTTTGGTTCTCCATCACTTCCAAAAAAACACAACTAAGTTGTCCGTACACAGAGTAAAATGTGAGTGTCTTCTCTCAGTACGATCAGTTTGTGAGTGAAAGAGTTCTAGAGGTAGAGAATGTTCTCTGGCCTCTGTGTTATCATGGAACCGGAACACGGAACCTTCTCTGCATGGAGCATTCTATCCTTCTGAAGAAAGATGGATGGATAGATGCAAAAGATACACATTCACCACAAGTCCGCCAGATAGCAGATTTAAACAGAGATCAGATCCTGTTGTTAAGTAAAAGTAGAAATATATAATTGTCTCAAAGAATGCCATAAGAAGTAAATTCTTGAATTGAACATTTCACTTAAGTAAAAGACCAAAAGTATTGGCATCAAAATGTAATTAAAGTACAAAAAGGTAAAATAACTCATTCCGCACAATTTCAGTAACATAAAGTACGGAATTGTATCATCTGAATACTTAAAGTAGGTAAAAGTCTGTCAAAGTATTTATAAAGAATATTATATTATCCTGTTCTTATAATTTGTACTAGCATTTTAATCTTTTAATGTCATTGTCAATTTTAGAGACTTTCGTAAAATACTTAATTGATAAGTACTGCATCAAATGATATAAGCATATTGTGTGTTTTTATATACAAAAAGTATAAGAGTGGAGAAATAGTAGAGTAAAAAGTACAATATGGCCTCTTAAATGTAGTGGACTAGAAGTATAAAATAGCATAAAATGCTGGTAAATATATGTACTGGTGAAGTGGTGGTACAAGTAGGCCTATAAGAAATCAGAAAATAAAATACTCAAGTACAGGTATGTCAAAATTGTTCTTCAGTACTGTCCAGTACCCGTCTTATGCTGGACATCTCAGATACCTCACAATCCATCTGTTGTTGATCACTAAAAAAACTCAAAAGCATTTATTTATTGTTGTTCTTGACTGTTTGTGTTCATGTGCCAGTCTCCCTCTGCTCTGGCGTTCTCCCATCATGAGTCAGCCCTGGACTGTAAATGGGCATTGCAGCGTGAGACTCGCCCGGGTGACTCGCAGGCCGTTGCCATGGCAGTGGAAGGTGTTGGGAGTAGATATTTTCCCATGTTGCCGACTTCAGACGGTGATGAGAGCGGTAGCATGTCTGGCACTGCAACACCAGACCTGCAGTGTACACCTCTTGCACACATTCACACTCACATGCTGACCAATCTGCACCAATGATAAGGAGATGGATAGTTGATCATATAAATAATCAGGTCTCAGTTGGGACACGCAGCTAAATATAGCACGTATAGCTACATTTGTATAGCTAAATTTGTATAGCTACATTTTTATAGCTATATTTTTATAGCAACATTTTTATAGCAACATTTTTATAGCAACATTTTTATAGCAACATTTTGATAGCGGTTTTATAGGGTTGGATTTGACACCCTGTTCTTGTCAAAAGATTTTTTCTTTTATATATATATATATATTACGATAAATACTGAGATATGGAACTTAGGTGTTTTCCTAGTTTTCACTTCACTGGCAAATATCAGCTTAACGTGGTTAGCATAATAGGCTACATGCTTTTGAGTCTGTTTCATTTTTTGTCACCTTTTTGTTGATTTGAGGTATATGAACATTAAACAATACTGTCATAACTAACCAGAGCAGGTAAACGTTAGCCTCTTTTGCTAGCTAGCAACAAATATCCAAACGGCTAAAGTTAGCATTAGCATGATAGGCTAGAAACTTTTTAACAGTATGTATGTTGTATGTGGCATTATTCAAAACATCATGGTAGAAAACAAGAGTTAAAAAACGTAATTGCACACTGTATATTTACAAATTGTAATTTAATGTGAGGAAGAATCAGAAAGACTCCTTTGTCGTTAACTTGCTAAACTGTCACAAAAGATCCTGCTCTCCTCTACATAACTCTGATCACTTAAATCACAAGCAACTTTCATGTTGTGCACTGACTAAAATGACTAAGCAGCCTTGCCAAAAAAAGGTGTGTTTGTGGTGTAGATGGTGAACTAGGCGGAGGAAAAGGAAAAAGCGGTGACAGAGCATCAGAGCGGAAGAGACGCTGCTCCTCCTTCCCCCTTTTTTTAATCTTCTTTTACCAGCTGCGCTGCCTCCCCTGGCCCGTTGAATATTTGATAGGCACTTGCTGCTTCATCTGCATGCCTTACAACTTGAGTACGTACAACCGCTACAGAGAGGCTGCTGTAGAATCCTCCTCTCACCCTCACGCTCTCTTCTCCCAGAGGTTCCTTTAGATTCCTTCAGAAAAGAGCAAGTGAAGGCAAAAGGGTTTTTCCTCTGATGATTTTTCTCTCCTTTTGCTTCTTTGCCCATGCAGGGAGCTGTATTTGAAGATGCTGTCTGTGGAAAAAAGACAACGGCTCAATAGAAAACGTTACTATGTGATGCTTTTAGGGGCCCTATTATGCTTTTTGGGATTCTCCCTTTCCTGTAGACTGTTTGTAGAGTTTTTTTTGCATGGTCTCCAAAGGCTTGAATCCCAAAATGCACTGCAGAGGGCGTTTCTCCCTCAGACGATGCCTGACACACTTCCATTGAAGTCCTTTGTTTACTTCTGCCAGATAGCTCACTACATAAAACTTGCGCTCCAATTGGCTAGCCCTGCAACATTGTACGTGATAGGCTAAGTGGTGGGACATCTCTGAGCGGTTGACCAATCACAACAGAGTTGGTCAGCTAACCAATCAGGGCAGACTGGGCTCTGGTTTCAGACGTTCAAATTATGTTTAGTCATTTGCTTCACACTCCTGTACGATTTGAATATTTATAGGTATGAATTATGGTGTAAATGTGCTTTTTTTGCAGAGATGCAGAACAGCATCCTCTGATGTTAAAAGCTTTAAAGTGGGGAATATTTTTTCTTTGGTTGTTTTGCAGCTTGTAGACTTTTGGGACTTCTGGTTACTGACTTGGTTTTTCCTCAGTTTGATGTGGGGATGGATGTGGCTACTTGTGTCTCTTCCTTTTATTGCCTGGAGTGATGAAGAAGAATCAAGGGGAAATGATGAAAATCAGAAAGACATGAGGCATTCAGTAGCTCAAGCTGTCACCCATCGGATTTTTCAAGTGAAATCAACCAGTTTTGTGTTATTAAAAAACAGAAATGAAGAACAGGGAATTAATGCAAGGTTCACAAGTAATGTTTCTGTAAAATGCCAATGCCCTGGCAACGGAAAGTTGTTGTTTTTACTATGTTAATTTTCCTAGGTGCAGTCTGCCAAAGGAAGGACGGTTTAATCAACCAAGGAATCTATTTCATCTGAAAACATCAGCAGTGAACAGTTCCAGTTGTTAATGGTAAGTACAGGGAATACATGCCTATCCCTGCACACAATTGGCAAGAGCCAGTCACAAGCCAAAGAATAAATAGACAAACATATTCATGCTGAAATTCACCGCGATTGACGACATAGCGCGTATGTGTAGCTAGCCTATGTTCAATCATCAATGTCCTCCAATTTATATACATTTTGATTATATCCAAACCATTTTTACAATTTTATGGCAATTGCAATTTTTCAACTAACAATATAGACGAAATACATTATACAAAAGAATGAACAATGGATAGGGTTTTGTGTAAATTATTCATATCTGTAATTTGCATAATCTGCTACAGAAAATACACGAAGACAAAATAGTAATATAATAATAATAGTATTGTAACATTCAGTTCAACCTACATCTGAGTTGCTGTTTACTATCACTGTTAAACAGGGAAGAGAATAGCACAGATTTCCTCAATGTACTTTGACCACATACGTTTAGTGAAGTATTAGTTCAAACTGTTTTACTTTCAAAACCCAGCTGTACGTCCTGTTTAACCAAGATAAGCTCCAATGGAGACTATTTGAATAGTGCAACAGCAGCTGAGACTTAATTAAATCATATAAGGGATCCAATTACTGCCTTATCACGTCAACTCTGTTTGACAAACACTATACTGCATGGGCGAGTTATAATTAGACACCAGATGTTTCCAGAGACAGTCTGAGTTTCATAGAGGCGTCAGAAAGGATGTGCATGGTGATGTTGTCAGTGAGGCAGACGGGCCACAGGATTCTCTACCTCACTGAAACAAATTAAATGTTGAAAGCAATTATATTAAGTTCAAATATTAGATTGAACTTAATAGTATTGCTTTCAACTAACCTAATACAGTTCTGTGAAGTTTTTTCAGTGCTGGTGAAGTGCTGTTAGGAACCCCCGTGACAGTTATGAGCAGCAGGTTAAGACAATATTCTCCTCAATCATGCACAAATCTGAGTAATTCGGAAAATCACCATTTAATTTAATAAATACATTTATGTAAACATCACACCCATGTTACCCCCTGGGGATTTTAGCTTGACAGCAGGTTGTTAGGGGAGAAAATAATCTCCAAATATAGCTAAAACGAATTCCTATGTAGAATAACTCATGCATTCACACACTCACACAGACATCGCACGCACCTTTTTGACTTAATGTGAAGTTGACTTTCTTCCTGTTGTCCTCATTAGACACCATGAGTTGTTTGCACACCTGACACACAGCAATATGTCACTGTATTGTTGTCCAAAATAGAAAATTAAATATTCAGTTTTAATTCTTTGCTGCCCTCAAGAGGTTGCTTGTGTCTGATCTCAGAAGAGTGGGTTTCATTTGATGTGGAATATTTCACGCAAAAATAAATGAACTCAGAGAGTCAATCACCAATTCTGTGTCATTTAATAATTCAGGGTTGAATATTAACACTTTACGTGGTAGCAGCAAAAAAATGCCACATTTGTATTGTATAATATCAGGAGAGGTGGAAGAAGGACTCAGTACACTTGTAAAATGTAACATTACGACATTTAAAAAATATTCAGCTACAAGTTAGTGCATTCAAAATTGTACTAAATTCAAGTTCAAAAGTATTAGCACAGGGGTGTCCAAACTACGGCCCGGGGCCAAATGCGGTCCGCGGGCCATTTTGAATCGGCCCTCAGCAAATTCAAAAAGTATAATGGAGTATGGCCCACAGATGAAACTTGTGCTTGTCTTGTATTGTACTTCTTAAATATAGATGAAAACAGATATTACCCAGTATTCATGTGTTAAGAAGCCCACTTGTCAAACAAATTCAGTCAGTTAAAGTTGAACAAATGTTCTATCAAATCTAAGTTGATAAGAAAAAAGCCCAATAACTTATTTTCATAACACGCTTGAAATAAACCCTTCCTATTTCCTCTTGTGATAAGAAATCTGACTCTTCTGTTTTAAGGAATAACCTGCTAACAAAATAAATGAAAACCTAAGGAGAGCTGTGATAGGCTGTTGTTTTTCTTAAAGCATATTCAATTATTAAGCATCATTTACCTACATTTGATTTATTTTGCTGACTTTTAACTTAATTTATGAGGCAATATACCTCACCTCACCTCAGTGGCCCAGCCCTTCGTATATCTTTCTGTGTGGCCCTCGGTGAAAAAAGTTTGGACACCCCTGTATTAGCATAACAAATACTCAAAATAAAAGTACTCATATACTCATCAGAATAATATATGTGTATTACAATTATGTATGTATTCATGTTAATGTGTCACTTCAATGTCGATTTAGGTAAACATTTTATGATTTATACCCTCTAAAGTGTCTTTGAGTTTCCAGAAAAGCGCTCTATAAATAAAATGCATTACTGTTTTATTTTTTATGTATGTTTATGTTTGCACCAAAAACACCAAGACATAGATATTCCTCATATGTGTTAACCTACGAGGCAATAAAACTGATTCTGATTCTGATATTTATTTTCTCTTTCATTTATTTGCTTTTCATTTGAGTTTAAGGTAATCCAAAAATAACGGAAAGTTGTGAGGTTAAATTATATTTTGATACTAAGATCAGGTTACTGATTACATTTTTTCCAGATAACTAGCAAATGTATTTCAGAGACATTTTTAAAGTTACCCTCACAACACTGATGCTGATATACCCTCTTGTGCAGTAGGTGGCGGTATGCACCTAGATGTTGTTTGCGATGTTCCAAAAAGAAGAAGAAGATCTACGTAATCACTGCGCGTCCACAACACCACTGTTAGGTCTCTCCACATTTCACACGTGAGTTAAACTAAAATGTATTTGCCATCCATAAACTAAGTTTGTTTCGATACACATTTTGAACAAAGTGTGCTTAATGTTTTCAACACTTCGAGCTGGCGTGTGCATCCGGAAGTTAGCACAGTATCATTCTCAGCTACAGCCTCGTCCGAGCCACACTCCTATTTAAGAATATGTTAAAATAACTTGTTAGCACGTATCGGCAAGACTTAAGGCGTTTCTGAATCTTTGGTAGACAGTAGTTAATTCGGCATACATATCTGTTACTCAAATTCCTTGTGGACCTTCTTCACACTGTACATTTATATGCCATTCCTTGCACACCTAATGTGAATTATATCCTTCTTTTAAATTGTATTAGCTGTAATTTGGCCCTTCATAGTGTCACGGTCCACTTTTACTTTTTAGTTTAGTTCTATTTTTTAGTTTGAGATGTTTATATTTTATGTTTGGTTATTTTCTATTCTTTTTTATTTCAAATGATGTGCAATGCCTTTGTTTAAACCATAGACTGTATAGGTTTAAACAAGCTGCTATAATGACAATTCTAAATAATTGAGATGTTACTGGCAGTCTTAACCTGTATAGTTTCAATTATATTCATTTAAAGTGTTGTCCTGTTTGTTTATTTCATTTCCTATTAAAACACACAGTCAACCAACAATTAAAAATATGAGACTGTAGTGTTAACCTTCAAATCCTAATAATTCTTTCACGTTTTCCTTCCCAGTTTCTGCCAGAACACCAAGACATTTTCCTTGTAACCTCCATGGTGTAAGGTCCAAGCTATGTTGGAGAAAACAGAGGACAGGATGTCACAGAAAGGGGGGGTCACAAAGAGGAGACACACGGATGAAGATGAAGAAGGAGGAGAGAAGAAGAGGAGGGGAGGTGAGAAAGGAGACGGCGGCAGGAAGCTTCTGGACGCCATGAGTGTGGGCTATTTCCGCAGAGTCGGGGAAAGACTCGGAGAAGGCTTTGCAAACAGCGAGGAGAGAGGTAAGAGATTATGATTCAGCAGTTCTGATCAAGCAGAGGATTGGGAGATCATTCGGTTTGGGGATGTGCGGCAACAATCTGGGCATTTGAACTGCATTTATATAAGGAAAACAAAATCACAAGCCACCTTGTGAGACAGAATTGTAGTAGGGTATGGAGAAATCCCCTGCCAATGTGTGTTGTGGAAACTTACATCACTGTTCAAACAGGAATGATTATAATATTCAGATGAAGCAATAAAGCAAAGCAAGTTATCAGGTCACTTTGGAGTGAGTTGCTCTTTGTGCAAAAGTGCCTAATATATGTGTATATTATCGTGTCAAAAACAGACTCGAAAAATGTTGCTACTTTAAAAAATAAAAATAATAAACCCTTTATTAATGCATGATTACTTACTATATTTTAACATCTAAAGGATATTTAAAAGATATAGGGGATGCATTATAAATGTGTTGATTAACCTTTTATTTTTACTGTTATTTTAGACAGGTTCAATCCGAAAAGTCATTTTTATACCATCCCATGCCTAATGAAAATGTGTATTTAACCTTCTATTTATGCATGGTGCCTTTATGATTATGTTATTCAATATTTAACACATAAAGGATATACAAAAAATTAGGGATGCTCCGATCGATCGGCCGATACTCACTCTCTGCCGATCGATCGGTGCTCTCTATAAATGCCGATCGAGAGAGCCGATCACATGACGTCAAATACATGAGACTTTTCTCTGTGCGCGGCAAAACAAGCTCGCCAAAATGGCTTCACTAGTCTGGCAGTATTTTAAGGTGTCCGAAAAAGACAGTAAAATAGCGGTTTGCAACGTGTGTGTGAAGCAGAAATCCTGCAGCTCCACCCGCTGTGACGGACCGGTGAGCGGAGCGAAACACACATTAAGAGTTAGACCTAACACACTTAGCTATTTTATCTACCTCTGGAACAAGCTAAACTAGTTATAAATATATTTATTCTTCACTGTCGGGTCACTCATTACTGGATCAGTGAGCTGCATGAGACGATACTGACGGGCTGTCAGGAGAGAGAGAGAGAGAGGGGGAGAGAGGAAAAGAGAGCGCTTCCACTCATTTCTCCCGTGTTATTATCCAAAGTGAATGTAAACTTGAATAATGTACTTCATTTGAATGTAATAATTAAGTTGGTTGTTGTTTGTGGAAGCGCCAGTGAATGAGCCCCATTAACTGAGTTTTAAACATCACTTTAAATGGAAGATCCCCATAGGCCCCGCCCACTCGATCGGATCGGCCGATACTGATTCCGGCAATCAGAGCATCCCTACAAAAAAATACACGTTTGTCCAATCTGTGTTGCAATACAAAACTGAGTTTCTAAAGCATTTTAATAATTTAAAGTGTATTTATCATGATAGTATGGTCAATAACAATTATTTATTATAACATATCATCAAATAATCAAATAAAATATAGGCTATCAGAGTGCACTCTTGAATAATCTGCTGTGGCCAATTCAGTAAATGTAGAGTTAATATAGATCACCAATCGAATGGTTGAAGAATTGTTCATATTTCAGTCAAACAACAACTTCTAAAGCGCCATCATTTGTGCTAACTCATGTTTTGTGTTATTTATTTCTCCTACAGAGATGTTTGTGGAGAACGTCCTCACAGAGGTGAAAGGGAAAGCTGCTGTGGTGGCGATGGACCGGACAGGAAGCTTCACCCTGCAGCGGCTGCTCCCGCTCTGCAGGCCCGACCAGGTGGCCGAGGTGCTGGCCGAACTGGGCGGAGAGTCCGGATCGGAGCTAAAGGCGGTGTCATGTGACCGGTGTGGCGGCCACGTGGTGGAGAGTGCAGTCCGACAGATATCCAGTAAGAGCTGTCTCATTTCTGATCTGTAGTGGAACAAAGCTTTGTAGCCACCAGGAAACATGGCACAAGTTGAGATGAAGAAACGCAGCTCGACGTGTCTCCTGATGACCCGGGGACAATTGATGCCCAGTTTAACTGTATAGTAGACGGACAGGAAGCCAGTGTAACGTTTTGAAGTGATGCGATCCACTTTCTTAGTGTTAGTGAGGACTCAAGCACCATCGTTCTCTAACTTATGAACTCTCAGGTCTTCTGCTACTGGCCTTGTAATCATGGCTAAAGTTAGAACAAAGTCTGTATACTACCTGGGAAAGGGGGGGGGGGGTGTGGTTGGTATTGTATTTTTTATTTGATCAATTTTGTATCAGCTTTTATCAATTGGTTTTGAGGTGCACTTCGTCTTACCTTTTATGTATAAAAAGTGCAATATAAACAAAGTTTCATCGGATCAAAGTAAATAATAACTCCGCTCTGTGTGTCTCTTTTGTTTCGTTCTTTTAGAGCTCTCACAGACGGCAGCTACCACAGAGGAAGAGGAGGAGGAGGAGGGGGGGGTGTTGGAGGCCCAGGTGCTGTCTTTATGTCAGGTTGTGAGAGACAGCATTGCAGAGTTCATCCAACATGTTCACGGCTCCCACGTGGTCCGCACACTTCTACACGTGCTGTCAGGCTGTCTCGGACCCCTGCGCACTGAGACCCGTCCAGGTACACAGACACACACACACACACACACACACACACACACACACACACACACACACACACACACACACACACACACACACACACACACACTGCAGTTAATGTCGTTTTTTGTAAATGAAAATCTCTTTATTTCTTCTGAGTAAAACAAATTCTGTTCTATATTCTATTAAACTCTACACACACAGAGGCGTGTTGCTTTAAGCTTGTGTTCACCTTTTCTTTTTTGTCATGTTTTTCTCCAGGTGCGAAAGACCGTAACGCTGTTCCCCAGATGACAGACTTTGAGGTTCCCACATCGTTTTGGTACGAGATGAAAAACCTCACAGACACGCTGATGGACAACGTTAATCGTGAGTCATTTGTCATGAAACTCTTGAATCCTCGTTAAAGTTTATTCCTATTATGGTGAACTTTATCACAGAAAGAAAATACCTGTATAGCAAAGCAAAGGGCAATATCTGTGTGTATTTCTGTATGTATCTGTTTTGGGGAAACTGGAAATCGGCAGGGGTAAACAGGTTGTTACATTACTGGAATGTCAATGTTTTCTCCCCTTGTGTCTGTCTCCCTCTCAGTCAGTGTGACAGACTCTGTAGCCAGCGCAGTGTTCCAGACCATGTTGACCGTGAGTCACAGAAAACGTCCGAAACTCTGCAAACAGCTTCTCAAACGCATCATGGGGTACCTGACGAGTCGTAGCGCCGCTCCAGGAGTGAGGTCAGAGAAGTGCCATTTCCACTTTAGTCCAGGAATAAGTCTCCACACCGTGACACGTTATGTAACTGCTGTTTTCTTTTTGCCTTTTAGTCCCCTTCTGGTCTTTCTCAAAGACCAGGCCTCCAGCCACCTTGTTGAGATGATCCTACAGCTTTCCCACAAGGCCCTCCTCCGGGACCTCTACAAGAACCACCTCAAGGGTCACCTGGTTGACCTCGCCCTCCATTCCATCGCCAACTTCCCCATCCAGAGGCTAACCGCAGCCTCGGCCAAACACACAATGGTTGGTCATTATGTCTGCATGTCACACGGGGCAGGATTAAAGTAGCGTAATTGCAAGGACGACTCTTATTTCCCCCTCCTCTTTCTCCGTAGTTCTTGAAGTTGTTTGATGAGTTGATCCAAGGCGTGGAGGCCATCTTGGCCGCGGGACACATGGGTGTGATTGTCCAACTGGCCGAGAGCTGTGCAGAAAGTGGAGAGAAACAGGAAGACATGATTCAGTGCCTCCTCCGTGTAAGCGTCGTCGTAAAGAAGATGGAACAGCCCCTCTGGGTCTTAAATCAACATAATGACATTTTGATTGATTTCTCCCTCTTTGTTTTGCCTCTCAGGCCTTCCACTGCGCTGAGCCCGGCACCCGCCACGTCAACTGCCTCCCTCTCTTCATGTCTCTGACCACCTATGAGGTGTATTACCACTGTGAGACAGCAGAGAGCAAGGTCCAGACAGAGGTAAACGATCCAGAAGTGTCTAATGATCCAATCCTTTGGCACTTGATTCTTGCAGTGTAATAATTATGGCTTTAATACATTAAAAAAATAATGCAAATGAATCACACTATCAAGTTTGACTCAAACCTCCTCCAGTAAATAAGGCGCAGATTTTTACCATTATTATATTTACTTGTAATTTATGGGGAGATACAACAAATATATGTGTGGTGTTGTGATAAAGAAATGCATTACAAGCTGGTAAGAGAAATCTGAGGGTTTTGTACTTTATTATAACATGATTTATTGGCATGAACTCCGACCTTTTGCAGACACTTAGATGGAGCATCGACCAACCACTTTTGACAACTGCAGCATATTTCGGTTTAATAAACTTTGTTCTCGTTCACTTCCAGGTCCCCCTGACCTCCATCTGTTACCATGGCTCCCGGCTGGTCCAGTCGCTGGCTAAGTTCAAGGAGCGCTCGCTCCTCCTGAGCAGCCTGCGCACTCAGACCCCCGCTGACCTCCTGAAGCTGGCCTCGGACCCCGCAGGCAGCCACGTCCTGCAGGCCCTCATCACCACCTCCAGCGACAAGGGGAGGGGCAAGATCCTGAAGAGACTGGAGGTACCACTACAGGGGCATTATGGGAATATTAAAGAAAGAAAAGCTGTCACAACATGAGAATCTTGACTTTGAGCTGCTGGCAGTTACCATTCGCAGTTTCCTACGTCGGACCACTGATATAAACTGTTCTTATTTTTAGATTTATTGACAAAAGTCCCAATACCTACGTTTTGTGTATTTCGTTAAAAAAACATTTAATTTAATGAAAAGAAACGTAATACCATTACACATGTATTTTATGAAAATCTAAAAATGATGGGTAATTATGGATTATAAAGGACAACTAGAATCAAATGCAACCTTTTTTTATAAAAATATATAATTCATTTCCCTGGCACTAAAGAATAATAAATAAAAAAAGAAAATCAACAGGAAGACATCTACATTGGACATCAGCCAAATTGTTACTCTAAACATTAGTGTTGGTATGCGGTGCAGAGCTAGGTGCAGCCACTGTTCCAGCTGTTCCCTTCATGTCCTCATCCCGAGTGACACTGACAGAACACATTGCTGCTGCTGACACTGAACCAACACCTAGAGCTCTTCTCTCTCCCACTCTAGTTATACACACATTCCATACTGTAGGGGCAAGGATATTGGGAATTCCTACATAGAAGTAGAAAGACGATAAATATCTCAAATGTATTTTATGACCAATGAAAGGAACATTGTAATATTTTCCTTCACAAAAAATATGAACATAATTCAGGAGAAAATCTCTGTCGCCACTTACATGTTTCCAATAGGATACACCAGAATATATGTTTCTTTCTGTATATGTGTGGTATGCCTTTACAGGCAGTATAAGGAAAACAAAAAACATGCCATGTTGTATGCCTTAAATCTGAAAAAGAAATCTGTTCTTTTTAAAGAAATTGTTAAAAAAAAGAACAAAAGAAACATATCGCCTACATATATAAATAATATTAATTATAAATACAGAACATCCCAATCATTTTTAAAACAATATGTTGTACATTTCCATTTAACATATTGGTGTGTACACCTGCATTGACTTGTGAGCAGTAGTAAAATGTTAAATGTCACTATAGAATAAAAAGAAACAAATCTGAAATAAAAACTATTGTAAGAATGAAACTGGGATTTCCCTTAAAAGTAGGTTTTAAAGTCTCTGGAATATTCCCTCCTGAAAGTATCTTGTAAAGAACACATGGAACATTATGAACTACACAGGGACTATATCTACCCAGTCCTCACTGTTTCTGCCTTTGATGGTGTTTCCCTCCAGGGCCAGTTTGTCCCCATGGCCTGCTCCAGGTTGGGGAGTCGGGTGCTGGAAGCCATTTGGAACAGCGCCTCGGTCACTCACAGGCACAACATCGCTCAGGAATTAGGTAACAAATCATCGCATGCATCCTCAATTTAAGAGGTGTTTTCTTTTATTATCATATTTACTTGCACACATGTTTTTTTTCTAATTGGGATTCATGTGATTCTCCTCCAGTGTCGTGTGAAAGCCAGCTGCGCTCAGATCAGTTTGCTCGCCATGTTTGGGCCAAATTTGCCCTCTCCCACTACAGCCACAGGAGAGGCCATTGGCAGGAAATACAGAGCGGCGAGTCCAAGAAGCGGAAGCTCTTCAGTGACATTCTTGAGTAAAACAAATACATATTTATGTAATTTGTTGGATACGAAAATAAACATTTAACATTTACATAAAACATTTTTGTATGCTCATTTTTAATCCACAAAAAAAGCATGGCTCACGTTAGCAAAGGAAAGGAGGGTGCTTTGTAGGAGTTAATTCACCATGGATATATAATTATGGTCCGAGCACAGACAGTCGAAGTGGAGGACCTATTGAAATTGTTCGATGCTGCTTGATGGGCTTAACATGCTGGATGTTTTTTGCACATTTGTCAGGACGGTTCAAAATGTAGATTCTTTTGGGGGTGTCATAATCGGTGCAAGCAAAATGGTTCTATAGCGCCCCATACAAATGTGCTAACAAGCAGCCCCTCGTTTTGCTTTCACATACAAAGGTGAAAGTTTGTGGGCATATGAAGCATGGTGAGACACAAAAAAGCCAAGGAGTCTTAACCCATCAGGAAGTCGGACACATTTAGTTTTATTTGCAACTTTTCCTGCCCAATATCTGAAAATACCCCTACAGTTTTAATCCGATCGACTGGTTAGTAAGACCTTGAGGATCAAAATCTATCCAAAAAGTTAGTACCGGACAAAAGGGGGCACCCTTATCTAAAACGCAAACATTTTATTCTGTAAGGTAATTTTACTCAATTTAATGATGAAGGTTTATAGTTTGGTTTTTTTCACTGGGAATTTAGTCCTTTTTTTACGCCCTGGGTCTATAACCTCTTTTAATCTAGATAGAAAGTAAACAAGTTGGTAACACTGCTTCTTCTCTGCCACAGCTGCTACAAACAAGTAAATATTTAATTACTTATATTAACAGAAAAACACAAACATAACTGTGCTAAAGTAAGCAGAGTAAAAGTAATGGTTGTCATTGATATGGATAAAAGAGTTAATAAGTTAAATATTACGTGTATGTTTTATCTGTACTATTGGTGTAAGCAGCATCATGGCCACTAGAGGGTGCTAGTGAAGTGTTTATTCTCAGTCATGTTTGCCTACTGGTTCTTTAATAAGTAGAGCAACACTGGCTCAAATGTGTAAATGTAAAGTCACTTAGTCACTGACCCAAAGAGAAAGAGTCTACATACATCATGTAATTATGAATGATAATGATGATAAACAAAAAAACAGTACAATATGCATGTAGGCACTCGTGTTGAAGGGGCTTTTTGGGGTTTTCTCTTTCCTATAGTGTGTTTATATAGGTGTTTTTTTTCCGTGTAAATGGTCTGCAAAGGCCAAAATCACAGGGGAGATTCTTCCCCCCTCCCCACTAAAACGCCTCCATTAGACTCCTTTGTTTACTTCAGTAAACATTTGTTTTCTATTGGCTAGCACAACAGCACATTGTATGTGGTTTCAGACAGAGGGTGAAAAGAGGTGCTGCAGCACAGGCAGTATGAGAAAAATAAAGCACTTGTTGATCATTGAAGCATGGACACATTTCACAGTCGAGGCACAAAATACAAATATGAACCTGAAAATTAGCATATTATGTTCTTTGGGAGGGGAGATATCAGTCTGAGGTAATGGGAAATAGACAATCTTTGAAGCTTCACTCTTGCGATCCGCTGAATGCTTTCTTACATTTCTTCAACTGAAACACAACCAAACTCGGGCCGTTAGGAAGAGCCCTGAGCCTCAGCAGTGAGCTCTTTGTCTCGCAGCACTGTGGGAGGCGCATTAGCTAAGTCACAGAGGGGATCAGTGATTACATATTGATTTGAGTATAGAAGGCCTTTATCTTGGGAGTTGCTTCCCAGTAGATAGAAGGTCCAGGGCCAAAAAGCCTCGCTGCCAGACCACTCGTGTTGTCTGTCAACAACAAAGGATACCAAACCCTTGGGTAATAAATACACATGTGTTTTATTAACGCGTTGATCAGAACACATACAGAAGTCATACTAGCGACTACATTTATGTCCGGTATACACCACCTTATAGAAAACCTCCTGTGGCACAATTCTACCAGCATTATTTGAACTCAAATCAACAATTAAAGACTTAATGACTTCAAACACTGGTCTGATTTTGTATGGTAATGGTGAAACTCCAGGTTACATGAAGTTGCTTAATTTTTTTATTGCAGGAATTTTTTGGAAAGAAAGATAGAGCCCAGTCTGCTCTGATTGGTTAGCTGGCCGGCTCTGTAGTGATTGGTCGAACGCTCAGAAGAGATATTCTATATACTAACAAAGAATTACTAACAAAGCACTTGTATACTAACAAAGGACTGGCTTATCTAAAGCCAGTTGAGTAGCACTTGAAATGTTTTGGCTCTATGAAACCTGATGTACTTATCTGATTCTGTTTTCTTCAGGTTTGTATCTGCTTGGTCGAATGCACTATGTAAGTCGCTTTGGATAAAAGCGTCAGCTAAATGCAATGTAATGTAATGTAATGTAATGTAATGTAATATTCCGCCCCTTGGCCTATCAGGTACAATGTGTTGGAGCACCAGCCAATAGAAGAGAGACTGTTACATAGTGATGTCACCATGTTACGGACGAAAACAAAGGAGTCCAATGGAAGTGTTTCGGGCGAGGGGGGGGAGCGTGTGGGAGAGAAACTCCCTCTGGATTATCAAACTTTGCAGAGCATTAACATTACTAGAATTTTGTTTGGAATTATGAAATGAGTTGTTTGTGTTTGGGTGGCACTAGCTCATTCTGTAGGGACTTGCTATTGAACCAAAGGGTTTCCAGTTAAAGTCCCAATCAGACCGAAATACAAAGTGCTTACTGGTAGTTGGAGAGGTGCCATCTTGCCTCGTGGGCACTGCCGAGGGGTCATTGAGCAAGGCATCAAAGCCCACACTGCTGCATGGTGCCACTTTGCTTTGAAACTCCTCCACTCAGGCGAGTGTGTAGTTGATGTAAATAACACCAGAGTGAAACATTGAATTATCTCTGAATATAAAGTATTTCATCAAGTTTTAATCTTAGTCTTAAAGAGGACATTTTTACACAAATTACAATGCAGGTTTTTGCATTGCATTGGATTACATCATAACAGTGTTTTTATTTTTGTCACAGTTGCATGCCTTCTCACCCAAAAAGCATGAGACAACATAGAGCCAATTAGAATATTTAAAGGGGACCTATCATGCAAAATGCACTTTTGTACGTCTTTTATACATGAATATGTGTCCCCGGTGTTCCAGGGAACTCACCAAGTGTCAGAAAACACAACCCTCTCTCTTTTCCTCCATACCCAAATCTCTAAAAAAGGGGCTGCAACGGATCTGATAAAAACTGATCCAGATTTGAACACTGTCCTGACGTCAGGACGGTGGCGCTACGGCTATTGGGCCAACTCCACCAATCAGGAGGAGACAGCCACGGCCATTGCCGTTCGAAAGCGCTGGAGACGCTGTAGTACATATGCCAGGCCTGTAGGTGGTGCTGTTCTCACAGAATCAGCCCTTGCAAAAACAGGGGTAAAAAAGTGCAAATTGAGCGAAATGAGGCATGGCTAAAATGCATGATCTATTTGGTATTTTGAAGAAAAAAAAAAGTATAATTATGCCTTATAAGTATGGTCCTACACTATATTATTATAATATAGCATGATAGGTCCACTTTAAAGGATACACATATCAGGAAAACATATCTTTCCATACTTTTGTGACGTAGTATTGAACTATGAATAAATTATATTTGGGTTTTGAGATACACCTCAATATAATTTAGCTGAATGAAAGTTTGTTTGAAGTGATCAAAGGAAGGAAAAGCGATTATCTTTGAAAACTCAACATCACAGTGTGTCTCTCCACAGGCTGACTCTTCGTGTTTTGTTTTGTAAATGTTCCTCCTGCAGAATACAAAGTATAAACTAGTCACAAAAGATTGTCTTATTACACTTTAGAATTATGATTCAAATCCCATGCTAATATAATGATTTATTACATGAATTACATCAAGACACATAATGAATTCCTGTTGCTATCTCTTAATGATCATATCACAAATGGGTATGTAATTAAGAAAATATGAATAGATCATGAATGAATGTGCATTCATTTCTCTCTGTGAGCAAAACATTTACTTATCTCTTAAACTGTTGACTTTTGAAACAAGAATATTCCCCAGTTTCTTTTTTTATGCTTGTATAGTATTGTATTAATTTTTCTTTATTTGAGTTTTTATTGGACATTTATGCTTTAATTTCTTAGTTTTATATGATATCTTAATTCATTTTTTATTGCAGATTTGTACATTTAACTTAAAAAAACATTTTCTTTTCATTTTTTTATTTTCCGTCACGAAACCCATTTCCCTGGGGATCAATACAATATTTGTCATTGTTGTGTTATCAGATCTTTCAAATTCTTGCAAATTGCAGAGTGTATTAGTGATGCACAAACAGATGAAATACCCATGGTTTGATGAAGTATGATTTAGTTTCGGCATTGCATGATAGGCCTTAATCAAATGGGTTTTAGTGGCGGCTGCTCATTAGGAGATAACAGCACTCTCCATCGTATTACACTGACAGTCTGTTTTCAAACCAATCTAGGTCTCACATCAAATGACTTGGCTCAACATGTGTGGTTGTGCGGAACAGGCTCTATAGATTTTTGGCTTATACCTAAATCTCCTAAATGACTGAGCTAATGGACTTTTTCTCTATGCACCTTGTTCAGAACAAACTTTGCTTTTAGTAATACAGTATTATTTCCGCCAAGGAGGTTATCTTACTAGCTGAATAAACTATAATGAAACTTGATGGTAGGGTGAAACATGCATAGAGGAAGAACCATTAACCTTATTAGTAACAAAAGTGTTTTTCGTTGTGTTAGAAAATGGTGTCCTGAGATCTTGTGAAAAATGTCAAATGTAAAAAATAAGCTGGAGCAAGAAGACGGATTAGCTTGGCATGAAGACTAAAAACAGGGGCGATAAGCAAGCTCTTCTGTTCTCAGAAATGGTTTTTCCTTTGGTGAAATGGTTCATGTGTGTCCCCTGCATCAAGAAATCACCTATTTATAGCCACATAATGATATTGCCATATTCCTTCAAATCTACGCTGGCAAGACATTTATCTTGATTTAAGACTTTTGTATCTCCACAGTTGCTGAATGGATTTGTACCTTTAAAAACTGCTTTGAAACATCCTTCTCCCTTTGTTATTTTGGTTGTTTTTTACTGCAAATATAGCCACTAGCAATATCTTACAATGAGCACCCAGGGAACATAGAGTATGCCCCAATCCCTTGTTCCCTCAATCACTTCTAATGTTGTTTGTTGTGCTCACATCACTGACATTTTCTTCCCCCCAATATGGCCATTTTTGAAAACACCACAGTTTTGGTACAGCTTGAAGAATCCAGATATAACATGTTAATTATTGAGCATCAGAGTTAGACCGCCAGGCCAGCTGTTTCCCGCCACTTTATGTATGTTCATGCTAATATAAGCTAACATCTGTCGCCTCGTTTTACATTTTCCTTAAACTATCTGACAATACCATTTGTGGTTTTGTGTGTTAGCTATGTACGGTCATGTTCCTGCTGTTATTCTAACATTACAACCCTAGTTTGACTTGATTCATTGCACATATCCAACACAATTCCCATTCCATCCATTCCATGGGAGCTCAGCTAAGATCAATGCTAGTCTGGTTATAGTTTGCCATATTTTTCAAATTACCTTTTGACCTGCTATTAATCCACATTGCTGGAGACGTGGGGGGGGGAGCATTGCACAAGGCATTCAGTCTGTTATATGATTGTTGATTTGTCCTTGCTTTAACAACCACTTTTCTTTCACTCTTGGATTCTTGGTTTGCTCAAAGCCAATTTTAATGATATTTGCCTCTCTCTGAGCGTGATATTCAAGCAAGATCCGTCTGGCTTATTCAGTCCCTTTTGTTGTTGTAGGTTATTATAGCTCTGTGCATGTTTGATCCGTGTCACTCAGGACAAAGCAGAGGAAGAATGACCTTTCGGATACAATCAGCCTTTGCCCCATGACAAGGGAAGAATTTGAATTCCCCAGGGATTCAGCCAGGCTTACTTATAAGCCACTTCATGTCTAGCCACACCGTAGAGTAATGCAGTCGTGATGTATTTTTCTAGGCCAACCCGGAAGTTAGCATTGGAAGTCGTCCCTTGACAAAAGAGTTTCAGAGTTTAATTTTATGATTATTTTACGTTAATGATACTGACACACTTTGATCAGCAAGATAATCTCCAATTACTAATACCACTTTGTGATTATTGAAGTGTAAAAGCTAACTACAGTATAAACTACAAAAGACCTACATCACGGTGGCATGGCTCCGCTTCAACACCGCTAAGCTAACGGCGACTAATGCGTGTCATTCTGACGTTTTGTGGTCTTATTTGGTCGCTTCACAGCATTGGACAATCACGAGTGGGGTATCTAGTGACGTATTTTATGCCGTAGAACAAAAACATGAAAGTCTCTTAAGCTTGTGTTATCCACATATCTTATTTCAGACATCTAATCCGAGACATGTTTGAAAAAACATTGACTTAAATGCTGTTAAAATGCTAACTAATTTCCAGTTTTTAGGATCAATTCCTGCACCACCTAATACACATACACACAGGCCACACCATCGCTGCAGCCTCCACGTGAGAATACACAGACTATTGCCAATATGACCTGCTAACTAACATGCCTACTCTCACACCTCAGATACTTATGCATCACATTAGATATGCACAGTGCTTACTGAAAATAGACGTTCTTCGTTGCAAAGTGAGCAGCAAGTTCGACAGGCTTTCACTGATCACAGTAGGTGGTTTTTCGGCTTCCCTGCTCATGGAAGTATTCTTTTGCCCGAGAAATCTCAGTAAATGCCTACAGAATGAGTCAGCGACAGAAAGACACAGAGAGGGAGGGTTTCTGTCATGATTTGAGAGACTGATAGGGTGTCACAAAAAGAGATTGTATCATATTTTCCCTGTTTCCTAGTCCATTTTTCCAGCGGGCGTCTGTGCAGCTGTCAAATGAATGCTATTATCTGACAGTTATTTTACCTGTTTAAGGGTGATGAAATGCTATATGTGTTATTTTCCATTGTGCGAGATGTATTGTTTGAAATCCAGCCTGTCTATGTTTGGACAGTTCACCTTTCCATTGTGCCTGTCTCATTCACCAGCTGGGGGGAAAACTGAAAACAAACAAAACAATGGCTTTCTGGAAATCATCAGAAATATAAGACATTTGAGACTTGAGGACTCATCGTCTCCTTGACAACTGTCTCCAAGCAACCATTACTCATCAAAGCCTTTCTCCAACCCCGTCACTCTCTCTCTCTCTGACTCTCCCTCCATCAACCCCTCTGTCTCTTTGCCAGTTCCATCCTCTCAAGAGTCCTCCCATCTCCTCCAGATCGTTTTTGTACCAGCATCAGAAGCTATCTTATGCAATCTCATATGATTGACTTAAGGGTACCATGCTCTATCTTTTTCTTTCTCTATACATGCACGGTGGAGCAGAAAGAGGGGGGACTGACAGAGATGTCTTCATACTGTAGTTATTTGTGCCATTATTTCTGTAGACTACATTTGGTGAACTAAAAATGCTTCTTTGGTTTATCATGTTAAGGGAATCAAGTGTTGGTACACCTGTTCAATAGTTAGAAATCAAACCCCAAATCCTAGTGTCAACCCTAACCCTAGGTGGACAATTGTATCCAAAGGGAAAGGCTTTAAGTGTTTTCTAGCCCAACCCTACTGCAAGCACATTTCACCCAAAATCGCAAAGAAACATATGTCCTTACTTAACTGAAGTGATAAAGTAACGGATCAAATGTGTTGTAGGTTAAACGTGCTCAATCCATTTTTATTAGAATGACAAATGGCAAATTACTTTATAAGTTGATATGGTTGGGGTACGTTTTTTTCTGGACTTGGTGGAGACCAAACAAACTAAAATATATTGAATATTGGACTTAAATTCATCAGGTGGCCAGACTTAAAAGACTTAAAAAGAACGATAATGTTGACCAGCGCTAGATGTGTAAATAAGCGTTTGCTAACCCTGACCCTAATCGTAAGTAGACAGTTGTATCTGTGCTTCATTAAAAAATGTTGTTTTATATGGACTTTCCATTGAGAGATTATTCACACCATTTTTGTAACCTTTGTGTTGTAACCAGCTGATGGTCCCTTTCATTTATTCATTATCACAAACGGCCAATGGGTGTTAAACAGATTATGTTTCAAAATACTTACTTCACTTTCTAACCTCTTTCTAAGGGGATCTGACGTAATGGATACATTGTGCTGTAGTTTCAACCTGAACATTGACAAATGGCTATCATGACTTTATAAGATGATACAGCTAGCTTGTTAGCAAACATTAGCTTATTAACACACTTGGCAAAATGATCATTCATTTGGAGTACTGTTTCTGGCCACCTTATTGTAAGTCAATATTTAATCTCTTTTGGTTTTGTTTGTCTCCACCAAATGTTTGAAATAAACTACACCTAAACAGTGAGCTGACAATCCCTCTTTTACCATGAAGCCAAGATGCGCTGCAAATTCAGGCGCTATTTCGCTGTAGGTTCATATCTTTCACTTAGCCTTTTACTAATGCATTACGATTGCAGTTAACGGTTGTGTTGAAAAGAGGAATATTGAATATGAAATGTGGTTTATTATATTTACACATACACTTTTATTGAACTTATTAGAGTATAATCATTTTAGGAACTATGCTGATTAAATCTGCAGTACCCGGACAGCCATTGAGGACAGTAGAGAATCAGCGGGAGACACATTTTGGTTTTTACATTCTCATTAAGCAAGTAACTTGACAGATGTCCCATAATGATCGTTCTCCATATCTTGAAGCCATGATTCAATCTATTTTCAACCTGAGATTTTGTTACAAAGTGCTGACTTTGCATGTTTTTGCTGCTTAGTTATAAATGGAGTAACTGTCATGTTGAAGTCTCTAGAGAGGACCTGAGTCAAGACCTGTCATGCAATCCCTCCTCCTAGAAACGACTGTAATGAGACATTCATTTCATATTCTTGTTATTTAAAAAAAAACAAAAAAGACAAGGAAATCAATTAGGATGTCAAACAAAAATTAATTTATTTTCAGTGGAAAGACAAGAGTGCCTAGTTGACTGTGACAAGCGGTGAGCATGTGTCAGTGACGCTGCCACGCTTGACGAGTTATCCAAACGTTTCCAGAACATTCCCTTGTTGGTCACCTGTGTGGCCAGCCCCCACATAATACAATCTCAACACTCATAATAATGCCAGTGGGTAGAAAGAGAAAAAGGAAAAACATCGAACAGCCACAGGTAGATTAGGTTGTCTCTTGTCTGACTTACTTCAAGAACATCCCAGCGTTCAGTGACTCAGCGGCTATTGAAGAAAAGTTCTGTCTGGTCAACGCCGCTTATTCTGACCTTTTTTCTTTCGCTCCACTTCCTTGGGTAAAGGGTTCTTTGTGCTGATCGCTCATGGTGCATCCAGCGGAAATATGGCTTGGCCGCTGATGTTTTTATCCTTGTATAAAAATCACAGATGAATGTATGCCATTGGAATCATCAAACACTTCAAAATCGGTACGGGACACAAAAGATGGATGCAGTGTAACGATTGTGGCTAGAAAAATGCGCAGAAAGGGGTCTTCTTTTTTTTCTTTTTTCTTATGAAATAAAGGGTTATGCCTTTAAGATGGCATTGCTAGAGACACTAGCTGGATTGTGCATTAGCTATTGGCCACTGAGGTACAGTAAACCCAGTATCCTGTACTGTAAAACCTACAGGGTCATGTCTTAGATCGTCTACTCGGCATGCTATAAAACAAGTTTCACAATAGGTATACATTGGATTGCTATCAGTCTCTACATAATCAGTGCGTGCTACTTGTGTGTTTATTTGTGCCTCCCCCACCCCTTCCAGTCCGCCACAGTAAGTGTCCAATCAGCTTCTTGATGTGACTCTCTCTGCTGTCGCTAATCGTTTCTCTCCTGCTCTCATCAGGTAATGAGTGCTCGCTGATTCACCTTAGCTGGAGCTGCAAATCCAGCTCACCTCCTTATCATTTGATCTGCTTTTTCTCGCAAACGTGGCCTCTATTTTTTATCGTAAAATTGGTTTCACTGATGAAGAAGATTAAAGGTTTAGTGCTACGATCTTCGGCTCTATCTATCAAACTTTCTTTCCTATTTTCTCTCCACTTTCCTACACCACCATTGCTCAATTTCCCCTCCAAGTTCCCCACAAATACTAGTCTCCATCTCCTTATTGTCCCTGTATTCAGTCATCTGCTCCTTCCTTATATTTTTCATTTAATCCTCTTCTACTCCTCCATCTTTTACACTTTGCCATCTCCTCTAATCTGGTGTGTGCGCATGTATTGGAGTGTTGTCTGTGTGTAGGCTTGTGTGTGTGTGTGTGTGTGGGTCACAGTGCACTGAGGTCGTGGCAGGAGCGAGACTTCTGTCGGAGGATCTTGCTGCCCCGGTGGCGGCTCATCTCCCGGTATCGCCCCCGATCCCGGTCCCTGTCCCGACCGTATGAGCGCGGTACCAGCCCCGACAGGAAGCGCTTGGCCCTGCTGGTCAGGCTCTCTCTCCGGGCTGAACCGGGGTCTCCGTCGGTCCAGCCGGGGCCCACGCAGTCGCCCCTCGCAGACCGAACGGCGGCCTCCAACAGCTCCGTGGTCCCGTGGTCCAGGGAGGCTGAGAGCTCCATGTAAAGGGAGTCGAACATGTTGGCGCTGGATTGGGCCTCTGGGAAAAGAGAGAAAGGAAGGTTTATGGTTTAAAGGTCACCTATTATGCAAAATCCACTTTTTCATGTCTTTTATACATCAACATGTGTCCCCTCTGTGTAAAGAGATTCTGAACGTTTCAGGAAAAAATATTCGCTCTCTTTTTGTCCTGATCCATTTATATAAAAACCTGTCTGAAAATGAGCTGATCAGATTTTGGCCACTGTATGATGTCATAAGGTTTATTTGGCTTGTGTAACCATTAGCCAATCACCAACCAAGGTAACCCCCCCCCCCCCCCCCTTATCACCTGAATCTCCTCCTAGAGCACCATTGTTTTCTTTTTAACCAAATATCTCTCAGAGGGGCGTGGGGAGGGGCTCCTTATTTTCATCTAAAGTAACATACAGAGAATCAGCACTTTTGAAACAGGGCTGAAGCAGAGGGGTTTATGGGATGCTGCAATGATCTGTTTGGTATTTGGAGCCAAACACTTCAGAGACATGTTTTGTATATATCTGAGACCTATTATATATTGATGAAAAACAGTATAATAGGGGACCTTTAAACATTTGAGGTTTCACGCACTGGCAGCTGCAAATGGCAAAGGAAGGCAGAAGTTTGAAATGTAAGGACATTTGAACATCGAACCAGCTCAACATCCACGACCCAGCTGCTGTGTAATGTGCATCACCACAGGATAATCGCTCTGTATCGACTGCTGTTGGGAGACTCTATTAGAGTCCAATGTGTCAATTTGTTGCTACTAATGGACCAAATTGTTACAAATGAAGTCAATCTACAGCATCTTCTCTGTGAGTAAATGACAATCCTTGTTGTTTAGTATGCTTAGGAAATCTTGTCTGAGAGCCATGAGACTAATGCGGCTTTCACACCAGCGCTTTTCCCTTTCTAGCTCCTAGCTAGAGCTTTTCTGTTTCAGCTCCGGTTTCCCTTTTCAGCTCCCGCTCTGTTCACACCACCCAGAGCTGCCGCTGCTGCGTCATGACGTCACCGCTTACATCGCTGATTTTCTCCCCAACGGAGCTCACAACAACAACAACGGGGGGGGGGACTGCGTCGGGTCGATGATCGTGTTGCTTTTAATCATACAAAGCCAGATTAAATTGAATAACGACTTCTCCAACCTTATACTTTTCTCCAGAGTGCCGTGGTTCATTGTTTATTAATGTGTTTCAGCAGCATTTACCGACCGCTGCAGTGCTGCTGCTCTTCCACGGGAGTTTATTCTCCCGTTAGCTCCGGGTTAGCTCACACGGCTCTAAAGTATTCACTGTCTGACTGTCACACAAGCAGCTGATACATATCCCCAGTTCCCCTTAAGTGAATGTGTGTCAGTCTGAATTGACGCTGTTTGGCATCACAACGCTGTTATGAAAGTTTCTCTGGTATAACATGGGTGATGTTAGCATAGCAACCGAAGCTAAACTGACTACTTGCTAAGCCGTTTTCTACAGGCACTTTTTACCGGCGTATTTTTCATTATGATTCTACTTGTGATAGTCGGACATGACAACCTGTGCAGCCCATGTATTGATTCCATCCGATAGCTGCTATAATAACAAACAAAACGTCTGCCTGCTCTCCACAATGATCAATAACAGCGAACGGATGGTCAAAGTAAGGTACAAATAAACAGAATCACACGAAGCCTGGTTAGTGTTGCCTGACTTTATAAAGTGTGTTTTTCTTTATAAGTGTGTGGTTGCCTTCTAGTCACTTTGCTCAGCGCTACTGCTTGTAGGCAGGCATGACGAGACTCTTCAGTCGACCCATGTTCAGGGGAGGTGGGTTTAGTTTCCTGCACGCCTCGACGTAAGAGAGACGTAAGCGACGCCGCCTCTAGCTCCGAAGCTCTTGCCTCTAGACCGACAATTTTTTGGAGCTGGAAGTGAACCGCATTCCGGAGCTATGAGGCGGCGCCGCTGCGGTGTGAACAGGAAAAACCGGTACTTTTCAGCTCCAGCTCCGAGCCGGAGCTGAAAAAGCGCCGGTGTGAAAGGGGCATTAGAGAACAATGAAATTAGTTTTTCAGGATTGTAATTTATTATAAGAAATTCTGATACATGTATTGCTGGGTGGTTGATATAACAAATAAGATATGCTTAAAAGTGCATTCTTGACTTTAGAAATATATAAAAAACATACAAAACAATCCCAGTTCAAGGACACTTTCCTGTGATTTAAACCACAGCACACTTTCCCCTATCGGATGGAGTTTGCTCAGCTGTCATGGAGATAATGTGTTTACATTTCACTGGGCAACCTCCGATCACTGATAAGGAGTGTGTGATTAGTTGAAAGCAAATAAAAAGGGTTGGGATTGTGCGATAAGTGGTACGGATAAAATCATTCAAGTTACTGAGCTTGCATGTCCCCATATCTATATCTCCATAACAATGTTTTGGGGCTAGCTTGAGAGCTAAAATACAGTATGTCATGGAAAGTAATCCAATTTCAATGGAATACCATTCAAATGTCATCATTCATAAAAGTTGTGGTATAATATGTCATAGCACTGCTGTATATTGTTATTTGTTATTATATAAAGCACATTCTGAAACGTTTGGTGTGTTTAATTCATGTCTATGATAAATTCCCAAATAGGCAAATTCTCAGGTTGTAGTATGTCAAAATATCTGAAAATATGTGTTAAAACATGTGTTAAAACAAATCCTTCTTTAGTTTGTCCAAAATATCAGAAAAAATACCAAAGTATGGTATGTTAAAAATATATCAGAACAAAATCATAGTATGTAATGTTGAAAGAATTTTCATAGTATAGTATGTCGAAAATAACAGAAAATATGTCAGTGTAATGTCGAAGAAACGTAATAGTGAACGATGTTTAAACAAATCCGACTGTTGTGTGTCGAAAATATCAGAAAAAAACAACATGATAAAATGTGTTGAAAAAAAAGGCTTAGTACAGTAGTATGTCGAAAATATTAGAACAAAGTCATAGTACAGTATAGTATGTTGAAAAAAATAGAAAGTATCAGAAAAAACGCAATAGTATGGTATGACAAAAAAAACGTCATTGTGTGGTATGTTGAAAAAAAGGCATAGAATAGTATGTTGAGAATGACAGAAAAAACGGCAGAGTGTAATCAAATATTAGAAAAGATAGCATGTCAAAAATATCAGATAAAAAAATGTGTGAGTTGTTTGTGCAAAACATCATAAATAACATCATAGTATGGTATGTCGAAAAAACATATTTTTATATTATATTAAAACAAATCCTATTGTAGACGGTCCAGAATATCATAAATAAAAATATCACCAAAACATTATAGAAAAGTATGTTCACAGAATGGTATATGTTGACAACAATCTCTTTGTATTTGCTGTATTTGTCGCAGCATAAACAAATGTTTTACTTTTGATCTCAATGTGACTCAGCTAGATAAGCCCAGGAGAATAAAGGTGTTGTTTACATGGCTCTATATCTCAGCTACAGCTCCTGTCTGTCTCTGGTCAAACAGGCTGGATGATAAGGAGCGCTGACAGAAACAGACCCTTCTGCAACAAATGGGCTCCAGCGCCAGCTCAAATAGCTTTTATACTCCGGCTTGGATTGATTGCCTCGGCTCTTTCAGTGCCAGCATCTGAGCGCTGTCGAGACGCTTTGTGCAGAAAATGGCTTTTAAGGTTTATTGTCGGACTCCATAATGACTGTATACAACTCACACCACATGAACGCGTAAAGACTGCAAAGTGTGGCTGCCAGCAACAAGTTTTTATGAACTGTTGTCAAATGATTTTCACAAAAGACCAAGGCTGTAAAATAACAAAATGTTTCTTTACTTTAGGGCCTTTTGCTTATTGGGTACTTTTCATCATGTGAGCCATTTCTCATATTTCAAACTGTTATTGCACATTCCTCTATGTTCTTCACAATTCTGTTCAATGCTACCTGTTATATAACTGCACCGCTCTGCCACTTTAAATTCTGATATACTGCACATATTGTTTTACTTTCAGAGTAAATAGTCATTTTCATAATGTACTTAATTTTCATATATTTATATTTCATTTATTTTATATGTTTTAAATGCAATAATAGTTTTGAAAAAAGCCTTTCAAATTGTCCTTTATAGTATGTTCCCTTTTTTCTACAGCCTCTGCGACGTAGCAACATCACTACTTAACACGCGCCCTTCTATTGGCTAGTGCTCCAACACATTGTACGTGATAGGCTAAGGGGCGGGACATCTCTAAGCAATTTACCAATCACAACAGAGCCAGCCAGCTAACCGATCAGAGCAGACTGGGCTCTGGTTTCAGACAGAGGGTGAAAAGAGGTGCTGCAGCACAGGCAGTATGAGAACAATAAAGAGCTTTTTGAACATTAAAGCATGGAGACATGTCACAGTAGAGACACTAAATACAGATTTGAACCTGAAATTAGCTTAATATGTCCCTTTTAAGTTTGTTTATGTATGCACTATATGCTCCGAATCAAATTCCTGTATTTGTAACCCTTTTTGGCAATAAACCGGCTTCTGATTCTTATTTGATTTGATTCGTCAAGGCAGTTCACAAGCTGTTCCTGATGATATCCTGTGAATATCGAGTAACCAGTTGTTAAAGTAACAAAGTACATTTACTCAGGTACTGTACTTAAAGGTGGGGTAGGTAATTTTGGAGAAACCGGCTCGAGATCGCTAGAATTTGAAAATACACAACCGGAGGAAATCTGCCACTTCCTTACAGAGCCCCTCCTCCAACACACACGAACGTGCACATGACCAATGAGGGCACGAGATAAGTTTGTGCACAGATGGAAGGCTGACAGGCAGGTAGGCCATCCAGTTATTTTAGCCGGGCTGGCTAAAATGATTGGTCGTACTTTTTACAGTACTACAGCTTCCACAGATGACGGTTTTGTATGGATTTGTTGTCAAAGCACTTAAGATATTCATTGCTATCGGGATGTTAAGAGCATTCCATGGAATATAACAAAAAGTGTATCTCGAGCCGGTTTCTCAAACT